ATGTGTGTGTGTGTGTGTGTGTGTGTGTGTGTGTGTGTGTGTGTATGTATGTATGTATGTATGTATGTATGTGTACCGCATGCTGCTTGCTGCCCATGGAGACCAGAAGAGAGCAGTGGATCCCTTGGAAGTGGAGTCACCTGGAGGAGGAGCTGTTATGATAATGCTGTAAGGGGACCTTCCATGGGGAACCATGGCGGATTCCATGGCAGGCCCGGTGACCGAGGCAGAGGGACAAACATGCCAGCAGACAGAGCTTAGTGAGAAGTTTTATTAGAAAGTAAGGGGGGAAGGAAAGAGAAAAGAGGTGAAGAGAGACAGAGACAGAGAGGGGACAGAAGAGAAGAGGGAGACCGGAAAAGTCCTGTGTGCCCCGGGGGAAGCGTGGGGAAAAGAGGGGAAGAGATCCTAAGCGCTCGGTCTGTCTTTTAAAGGGGTCCTTTGCACCAGCGCGCAAACTACACAACCATGGAACCCTGCGATGACCAGGGCCCTGCCTGAGTGCATTCTGCCTGGTGACAGGGCAGGCCAGCATAATGCCTGAGTCCTTACAGGAACTCAGAACAAACCAAGGTCCTCTGGAAGGACAGCAAGTACCCCTAACCACCGAGCCATCTCTCCAGCCCCCATGCATTTGAGTTTTAGTGATCCCCAACTATGAGTGAACTGCTGATGTATGGTTTCTCACGGGAGAGCCTTGAAAGCACTCTAAATGAAAGCAGCCAAACACAGAAGGCCACATACAGGCTAATTCCACTTATATGTCATTTTCTCAGTAGGAAACTCTGTGGTTTCCAAGTAATGGTTTCCAGAAACAAGGAGAGGCAAATGGGAGGCTGCTATTGGAAAAGAGGCCTCTTGGTGGAGTGACAAATATGTTCTTGAAAGTACTGTTTGGATGCATAACTCTGAGTGTTCCAGAACCCAGCAAGCTGTATACTTTAACAGGGTGGATATTATGGTATATGACAGAAATTTCAGTAATACGATTTTCCAAAGTTTAGAGCTGGGGATATAACTGAGGAGGTAAAGGGCACGCCTATTATGCCACAGACCCTAGAATTTCTCCCCATAACAACACACACACGCACGCACGCACGCACGCACGCACGCACGCACGCGCTACAGTGTCCTGAGGTTTTCTGTGTAGCTGGCCACCCAATAGTATTTGTAGCTTTTTCTTTAATGAAGTGTCAGACTGGAATTTTATTTATAGAGTTGTTAGAATGAATTTGTAGAGTCAATGGAGTATTACCTTTCAGTCACATAAAAGCTAGTCAAAGCCACATAAAACAGAATCCCTTACAACAGCCAGGTGGATTTGTTCTTGTGGCCTCTTAGGTTTTGCCACATGAGTTTCTTTGGATGATAAACACCCTCTTCCTCGTCAGGCGGTAGTGGTGCACGCCTTTAATCCCAGCACTGGGGAGACAGAGGCAGGCGGATCTCTGTGAGTTTAAGACCAGCCTGATCTACAGAGTGAGTTCCAGGTCCACCTCCAAAGCCACAGAGAAACCCTGCCTCTAAAAACCAAAAAACAAACAAACAAATAAAAAATTCCTCTTCCTCATTAGTTATTTGTACACCTTGTGGATCTAAGTAGTTGGGTTCGAAATGAACTAAGCTTGTTAAGTTTTACTCTTTTGGACTGAGACAAGGTCTCACCATGTAACTGGCTGGCCTGGAACTCACTGTGTAGCAAGGCCAGCCTCCTGAGTGCAGGGATTAAAGGTGTGTGCCCCCATGCTCAACTAATTCTACTCTTTTTAACAACTGGATTTTTGCAGGAGATTTGATTTTTAATTGTATGTGTGTGTCTGTGTCTGTGAGTAGGTACCTACATATGAACTCCAGTGCCCATGGAAGCCAGAACTACCGATTCCCCGGGAGCTGGCGTTACAGGAGGTTGTGGGCCTGCACTGTTGGTGCTGGGAACCGAACCTGCTGCAGTTCCCCTCAGCACACCTTCCCGCACAATGCCTGAGTTTTTGTTGTTTGCGTTTCTTTGTTGCTCATGTTGGTCCAGGCTCACCTTGATCTTTAACAACTGAAATTTGAAGTAAAATGAATTTAGGTTTTGGTTACATAAAATGTTAGTGATTTTTGTGCTTTAGTCATACTTTGATAATATTCCAGGGTTTTTTGGAGTTCTTACTTCGTTGTAATTCATTTTTCTGTACTCTTAGCTTCCAGAGCACAGAGAAGCACGGCACACCTACAGCCTGGAGTCCTTTTGCCGATGCCCTTTTTATGAAGAAGCTATGCATTTGGTTGAAGAAGGGAAAATTTACTCCCGAGTGCTGAGGTATTGCTCCAGTTTAGCTTAGGGCTAATCATTTATTTTAGTGGCTACTATATTATTTTGTAATAAAATATTAAGGTGCTCTTGCTCTTTCTGTGTGACAGTTATTAAATTATGCTTATGGATATGGGAAAATCACATTTTTGGAAAAAAAACAAGTTTTTTTCTGCGGTCTGTCAGTATGCAGAGGACATGTGTTTTATATTAAGGTCCTGTGGCGAAGCCCTGTTGAAGTCCGGATTTGCAGAAGGCTTGATCTTGAATGAGACTTGACAATTGCTCTCTGCTCTTTCCTGTACAGAACTGAGCTGCTGGAGTGTCTAGGAGACAGCGACTTCCTTGCCAAACTCCACTGCGTCCGGCAGGCTTTTCAGGTGCGTCTTCGGCATGAAGCGAGCTGTGAACCTTCACATTGCTGCACCCCTACCTGAGCACACTTTCCTGGCTGCTCATGGCAGACAGGCAGTCAGCTCAGTGTGTTCGCCCTCCGTAGTGCTTTGTCTCCATCTGCCCTGACCTTCCCCACACCCTTCCAGGTCACCACACTTGTCTAAACAGAAGACCGTGGTGGTGGTAGTGTGTGGAAATGGCTCTTAAAATGATGCTTTGCTGCCATCAAGCAGCATACATTTAGGTTTTTAAAATTTGAATCAGTGATAAAAAGTACTGATTTCCTAAACAGAAGTGAGGCTGTTAATAATAAAGCCAGAATTGCTTTGCTGGCACACACCTTCCATTCCCACACTCATTGTGAGTTCAAGGCCAGCCTGGTCTACAGAGTGAGTTACGGGACAGGCAGAGCTGTTACACAGAGACGCCCTCATTTAATTTTATTATTTTATGTGTGTGTGCACATGTGTGTGGGTAGATAGGTACACGTAAGTGCAGGGGGCCAGGGGGCCAGAAGACGGTGTGAGATTCCATGGAGCTGAAATTGCAGGTGGTTTAAGCTGCCTAACATGGGTGCTGGGAACCAGACTTTCATGCCCTGCAAGAACAGTGTGTGCTCTTAACCACTCTACGAGACTCAACTGTCTAAATCAGAATTATCTGCTCCTGGTCTTTTTGATCACTGGGTTTAAGAGCTCTTTATTTCTGTGAAACTGGACCTCCTCTGCTTCCAGTGTGACTGTGTGAGATCCTCACTAGATCACAGGCAGCACGCTGACGGACTGTGCTGGGTCCTTCATGGTCTCTGATGTCACTGGAACCCATTCTCACTTTGGGGTTTGGTATTTTTCAGGTGATTCTTTCAGAGGCAGCCAACAGGATATTCCTTGCTCAAAGCGGAAGGAAGATTTTATCAGCTTTAATTGTGAAAGCACGGAAGGTAAATGTATTCTCTAAGCAAGTTTTGTTTTGCTGGTTTATCTAACTGAAGAGTAAATAATAATATACAAGGGGCTGTTGAGACAGCTCAGCAGGTCAAGGTCCTTGTCACCAAACTGACAACCTGAGTTTGAGCCCTAGAACCCACATGATCAAGAACCAATTCCCGCAGTTGTTCTCACACAGACGGTGGCATGTGCCACCTGACTACCAAGTGAAGAAATAAATATTTTTTAATTATTTTAAAGGTTAAAATGTATTAAAATTTTAATAGTGGAAGAAGTCTTTGTAAGCAATTGGAAAGGTCCACCAACCAGTATTTTTTTTTTTTTTTTTTTTTGAAGACAAAGCCTCTGTGTTCCTCTAGTTGGCCTGGAGCTCACTTTGTAGATCAAGCTAGACTGAGATGTGTGCTGCTTGTCCCGCCTCTGCCTCTGTCTCCTGGGTGCTGGAATTACAGATGTGCATACCCCGTCTAGTTCATAGAGAATTGGTTTCCATTTGAGTTCTTTTCTTCTGTGTGTAAAGCGCGTGTCCTCTGACCAGGCTGTTGCTTGTAACTTATAGTTGCCTGTGCCATCTGGAGGTCTCTGGTGAGCAGTGCTGGTCTCTGGTAGAGCTGTTGCTGTGGCCAGCTGTTGCTGCCACCTCCTCCAGCTGTGCAGGAAGAACACTGAGGAGCCTGGACACAGACTGAGCTGCCTGTCACTCATTGTCACTGGACTGAGGGAAGCAGAGACATTGATAAGAGCTTCCCTCAGGCTGCAAGGAGCCTCTTTACTCTATGCAGGCTTGTCCAGATTTAAACAAACAAACAAACAAACAAACATAAACAGGCCGGCCGGCAGCTCTTTGCCGGCTGGTGTCCAGCTCCAGTCCCATTCACTCCCTTGATCTGTGTAGTGGAGTTGCATCTGTCCTACTGTACAGTTACCATTCTACTTTACAGAAACTATCGTGACTGAATAAATGATGGGCAGGAAAGTAACTTAAAGTGCACTGGGTGGCTCTCAGGTGACACTATGTTCTAGCAGTTCAAGTATAAACTGTGGGTTGCTTTCTTGGCCTTCCTATTGAAGACAAGCCCTGGGGTTTGAACCAGAGTGCCTCCAAGAGGAGCAGAGCTGCATAGGAAGGACCTCACCCTTCTGCCAGAACTCCATTTCCATTTTGAAGGCTGAGCAGCAGTGGGCTGTGAAGCTTTACTAACATTCTCATTCTTGGCTTCTGTAAACTAGGACTGAGAGTGTAGACTGCTTGCCTAACTGTCCTACAAAAGGGCCTCAGTTAAATCCCAGCACCACGTAAACCAAGTATAGAGGCACATCTGTAATCCCAGCACCATATAAACCAGGTGTAGGGAAACATCTGTAATCCCAGCACTGTTTAAACCAGGTGTAGGGAAACATCTGTAATCCCAGCACTGTTTAAACCAGGTGTAGGGAAACATCTGTAATCCCAGCACTGTTTAAACCAGGTGTAGGGAAACATCTGTAATCCCAGCACTGTTTAAACCAGGTGTAGGGAAACATCTGTAATCCCAGCACCATATAAACCAGGTGTAGGGGCACATCTGTAATCCCAGCACCATATAAACCAGGTGTAGGGGCACATCTGTAATCCCAGCACCATATAAACCAGGTGTAGGGGCACATCTGTAATCCCAGCACCATATAAACCAGGTGTAGGGGCACATCTGTAATCCCAGCACTGTATAAACCAGGTGTAGGGAAACATCTGTAATCCCAGCACCATATAAACCAGGTGTAGGGGCACATCTGTAATCCCAGCACTGTATAAACCAGGTGTAGGGAAACATCTGTAATCCCAGCACTGTATAAACCAGGTGTAGGGAAACATCTGTAATCCCAGCACTGTATAAACCAGGTGTAGGGAAACATCTGTAATCCTAGCACCGTTTAAACCAGGTGTAGGGAAACATCTGTAATCCCAGCACTGTATAAACCAGATATAGGGAAACATCTGTAATCCCAGCACTGTTTAAACCAGGTGTAGGGAAACATCTGTAATCCCAGCACCATAGAAACCAGGTGTAGGGGCACATCTGTAATCCCAGCACCATAGAAACCAGGTGTAGGGGCACATCTGTAATCCCAGCACCATAGAAACCAGGTGTAGGGGCACATCTGTAATCCCAGCACCATAGAAACCAGGTGTAGGGGCACATCTGTAATCCCAGCACCATAGAAACCAGGTGTAGGGGCACATCTGTAATCCCAGCACCATAGAAACCAGGTGTAGGGGCACATCTGTAATCCCAGCACCATAGAAACCAGGTGTAGGGGCACATCTGTAATCCCAGCACCATAGAAACCAGGTGTAGGGGCACATCTGTAATCCCAGCACCATAGAAACCAGGTGTAGGGGCACATCTGTAATCCCAGCACCATAGAAACCAGGTGTAGGGGCACATCTGTAATCCCAGCACCATAGAAACCAGGTGTAGGGGCACATCTGTAATCCCAGCACCATAGAAACCAGGTGTAGGGGCACATCTGTAATCCCAGCACCATAGAAACCAGGTGTAGGGGCACATCTGTAATCCCAGCACCATAGAAACCAGGTGTAGGGGCACATCTGTAATCCCAGCACCATAGAAACCAGGTGTAGGGGCACATCTGTAATCCCAGCACCATAGAAACCAGGTGTAGGGGCACATCTGTAATCCCAGCACCATAGAAACCAGGTGTAGGGGCACATCTGTAATCCCAGCACCATAGAAACCAGGTGTAGGGGCACATCTGTAATCCCAGCACCATAGAAACCAGGTGTAGGGGCACATCTGTAATCCCAGCACCATAGAAACCAGGTGTAGGGGCACATCTGTAATCCCAGCACCATAGAAACCAGGTGTAGGGGCACATCTGTAATCCCAGCACCATAGAAACCAGGTGTAGGGGCACATCTGTAATCCCAGCACCATAGAAACCAGGTGTAGGGGCACATCTGTAATCCCAGCACCATAGAAACCAGGTGTAGGGGCACATCTGTAATCCCAGCACTGTATAAACCAGGTGTAGGGAAACATCTGTAATCCCAGCACTTGGAAGGAAGGTGACGTAAGGGGGTCAGAAGTGTGACGTCATCCTTACTATATAGTTCATTTGAGGCTAACCTGGGATACTTGAGACACTTTTTTAAAAAGTAAATATTCTAGTATTTTCTAGAATAATTAAGATACAACTAACTTTATTGAAAAGTAACTTACTTATTTTGTAGACTTACGTCTCATTATAAAGTTAAATTTAGACTCCAATATGTTTTCTTTGCAGAATCCAAAGAAATTTGAAGATGTTTTTGATGAAATGATCTATTTTTTAGAGCAGACTGATCACTGGGATAGTACTGAGATGGAACTTGCTGCCAGAGGGGTAAATGCAAATTTCATATAATCTGTATTCCTGTTATCTGCATATGTTTACCTGATTACGGCAGTGTTTCTTTGTCTTTTTTGTTGTTGTTGTTGTTTTTGTTTTTCGAGACAGGGTTTCTCTGGGGCTTTGGAGGCTGTCCTGGAATTAGCTCTTGTAGACCAGCCTAGTCTCAACCTCACAGAGATCCCCCTGCCTCTGCCTCCCGAGTGCTGGGATTAAAGGCGTGCGCCACCAACGCCCGGTTTCTTTGTTTTTTTTAAGTGATAGTGTGTGTGGTGGCACTGTCATCCAGTTATGTAGTAGGTACTGTTGTATCCACCCGTGTGGGGGTGGGGTGTCATCCTATCCACCCGTGTGGGGGTGGGGTGTCATCCTATCCACACGTGTGGTGGGGTGTCATTAGTCATATCCACCCGTGTGGTGGGGCGTCATTAGTCATATCCACAGGTGGTAGGCACCATCTTGTCTCTGACATAAACAGTGGAAACTATATTTTTATGCATTGGTTGGTTGTAAAGAAATGACAGTTTAAAGACCTTTTTCTTCACTCTCATCTTCCATCTAAAAATCAAGTGGCAGGCTTCACTGAGTAAGGCAGTAACACTGTCCTGTGCAAGAGCAGTTTAAGACGGACAAGCAACAGGGCACCTTAGGAAAGCCAAGGAAGTAGACATCATAGGACTGAGGAGGCAAAGGTACCAAGAAAATTCAGAGGCAGACTCTTAGTGTCAGAGAAGGCAGACAAGCCTAGAACTTAAATTGCAGAAATGCATATGGATTCATAGACTATAGCATATACACTGTGGTAGGATTTGATAGAGACATAAAGGTTTGGAATTATCTGAATCCTGGCTCTGGTTATGCCGGGATCTAGGAGCAACAGCAGCTCAGTTCTTGGCTTCTAACCAGCAGCCACCAAAGCATAGTAGGAACCACTGGCACTCACTCTCTGTGCAGAGCCTGGAACAGCTTGCTGTGATGGAAGTTTATAGGTGAGTTTACAGGGCGCTGGGAGACATAGTAGCAGAGGGAACAGTAGGTACAGACATAGAGAGAGTTCCTTCTCTGGTGCTTTCTCTCTGTGAGCCAAATCAGTAGAAACCTGAGCTTTATCCTTCAGCTTTCCTGCCCGTTACCCACTTTTCCATAGTCATCTCTAAAATGAGCACAATTGAGCCCCTCAATCTATTTTAGCATCTTCAGTTTTTCCCTATTCCTGTTGCCTTTATCTTGGCCTAAATCTCCATTGCCTTTGCCCAGCCTGCTTCATATCTTTGTGTTCTGTAACTCCCTGGCCACTGTGTTACCCTTCTCCTGTTCGGTTCCATCTACACTTGGGCTAAAATTATCTTCTTGTTTTGAGACAAGGTCTCATTGTAACCCAGAGTTGAACTCTAGGTAGCTGGTGATGAACTTTTTTTGTTTTTTGTTTTGTTTTGTTTTGTTTTTTCAAGACAGGGTTTCCCTGTTTTGCTTTGGAGCCTATCCTGGAAGTCACTCTGTAGACCAGGCTGGCCTCAAACTCACAGAGATCTGCCTGCCTCTGCTTCCCAAGTGCTGAAATTAAAGGCGTGTGCCAACAACGCCCAGCTGGTGATGAACTTGAGTTTCAGATCGTGCTGTCTCTTTTTTCCATTTGACACCTTTGCGTTTCTTCTGGCCTCAAAGTCTGACAGGAATTCCCTGTTTCTGGGAAAGCTCACTCCCCAGAGAGGCCCTGTCTAATGCCCAGATTAAAACCAATCTGGCCTGCACACTCTTGATGCTTTATTGTGCTTATTGGGGTTGTAATTAGATATCTGTAGGATTGTTTTCTTGTAGCTGTCTGAACACCTGGTGACGGAGATAGACAGACAGATTGGGGGTGAGTGGGTAGCCATGGCCCATGAGCGCTGCCACCGCTCTGACCGAAGCACAGGAAAGGACAGTGAGCAGAGACTGATCTGACCTCGTGAGCCAGGAAGGGACAAATACCCCGAGATGTAGTTTTGTACTTACCATCGCTTTGTGGAGAAACACAATCTGAACTATTGAAAAGCCTGCATTGCAAAGCTCAGACTTTACTCAGCTAGCTCTCTGTAATACCCATTTCCATCTTGCAATTTAATACAGGTGAAAAATTTAAATTTTTATGATGTGGTTCTGGATTTTATCTTAATGGATTCCTTTGAGGATTTAGAGAACCCACCACCGTCCATACAGAGTGTGGTGAGCAATCGCTGGCTCAACTCTTCCTTCAAGGAAACAGTAAGTGGTATTTACTCTCCTCGACGTTCAGATTGGATGGGAAATGATGGGAGATGGACAGTTGATTAAAAAGTTACGTAGAAGTCAGGCGGTGGTGGCGCACGCCTTTAATCCCTGCACTCAGGAGGCAGAAGCAGGTAGATGTCTGTGAGTTCCAGACCAGTCAGAACTACAAGGACAGACCCTGTCTCAGGGGAAAAAAAAAAAAAAGGAAGAAAGAAAGAAAGAAAGAAGAGGGAGGGAGTGAGGGAGGGAGGGGGTGGGGTGTTGTTTTCTGTGG